AAACGGAACTTTCGAACATTACAAATTCAAAATTAAAACGTAAAATAAATTAACCAATCACTATACAAAATAACTATAATAAATAGATTGAATCCATATTAATATAAATAATAAAATAAGGCGATATAAAACTAAAAACAAAAATAAACCTAAAAGATTAAATGCACAAAAGTATTAAATTCTTAGAAATGATAAGGACAAGCTTAAGAAAGAAGAAACAGCAGGCATGTATAAAATTCCCTTTGAAAACCAATAGCTAGGAATTATGAAGGACTATATTGGAGTCACTAGACGGAATTTGGCTATTAGGCTTAAAGAACACAGATATGACATTAGTAAAGGACACTGTACCACTGTTTTGTCAAGTATGGCACAAGTGGAGGCTTCAATAGTTAAATGGAATGAAGCATCTATTCTCAAGACATTATGGTCCCCATCGTTGGCTTTGCAACATGAAAAAATTGAAATTTATAAGAGTAAATTAAGGGACGGCTGTATCAATGCAAGGGATGCTGATGGTTTAGCTTCGGCATGGAAGTTCTTTGTAAAAGAAAAGTTAAAACACACAAATTCTTAGTTCCTATCTGCCTTTTTAATGTGATGCATTTTGATATATATATATATTTTTATGAATTTAATACTGTTGTGCATTTAATCTTTTAGGTTTATTTTTGTTTTTAGTTTTATATCACCTTATTTTATTATTTATATTAATATGGATTCAATCTATTTATTATAGTTATTTTGTATAGTAATTGGTTAATTTATTTTACGTTTTAATTTTGAATTTGTAATGTTCGAAAGTTCCGTTTAACGCAATTTTCAAAGTTGTTCAATAGCCTGTCACCTAATGATGGTCTATTCCATTAGGCTGAAAACGTTTGTGTTTTAATAAATATTTCTCAGCGTTATAAGGTGTTAAATGTTTATTAAATGTTTTAAAAGAAGCTGAGTTGATATTCAATTTATTGTATAAACTAAATAATTTTCTCACCCAGATTACTAATATATTTGATAATGATATTATGAATTAATATTTAATTAACATTATGCAACTATAACTTCTGTAACAACTGTAACAAGGATTTTTTTTCTCCTTAGTACAATAAAGCTTTGATTGATTGATAATGCTAATCCATTAACACTTAACAATTCTCAAACATTTATGTTGCTAATAATGTTACATTAATTACCAAATGTTAATTAGCATTTTCATTAAAAATTTATATGCATTTTTGATTTGGCTCATATTTAAAAAAAGTCACTAATACCCAGGTAATCATCACTTGTAAACATTACACATAAAAAGAAATAAGCACTAATAATAAATTAGACCTAAGAAATTTTAATTTTTTCTCTTCTTTTGTTAATACAGTATCTATTTGTTTTGCTGACATAATATATATTTATTTTTGTAATCAGTTCAAAACATAATTAATTTTTGGAGTATTTTAGATAAAAGATTCCATACTTGTATCATTAACAGAGAGAATATATAATCAGAATTATGACAAATAAGAGACAAACAATTATTAATACAAAACAATATTGATTATAATAGAAATGTATACAATATATTAATATCTGACAATAGAAGACTTACTTGAACTTTCCTTGCAACATGAAGGACTAATTGAAATTTATCAGAGACTCCCATATCTCTCTCTTGATCCTATAATTTTGGAGGAAGAAATATTGAGTGAAATAAATTAAAATTTTAAAATTAACTTTAAATTTACAATTACATATGTATTTAAAAAACAAAAGCTTATTTACTTACATCTTGTTCATTTCTTTTTAATGAATGTACACCAACAAACCATCCTCTGAATAAATGAATAAATAACCTTAAATTACTTTGTTAAATTAAATTATAAAATATATATAATACATAATTTATCAAAAATATAAATTTGCAATAAACCTGCTCAAAATGGAACCTGCCTAAATGGAAAAAATTTTTTGGAATGAAACAATTTTATACATAAAAAACAACCTCTTCAAAATGGAGATATGCCAGAAAAAAATAATCAGTACTGTGCAACTCCAGTTTACACAGGTTTTACTGTATAAATTTTTAGATTTTCTAAATTTTAAAATTATTTCATATTTATTTTCATTTTTTCTTTTTAAATATCAAAATATATTTTTTTACTAAATAATATAATTAAGATTTAATTAATGTAATAATTCAAATACTACATCAACCTATTTAAAAAATTAACTTTAAATCATCACTTGTAAAAATTAATTAGGAATTTGATGATTACATTAATACAAAGTTTCTTAAACTATGGGTCACAACTCCATTTGGGGTTGCATAACAAAATTAGAAACCATTCATGAAGGATATCACTTCAATCCAAAATGTTCCTCTGTCAAATTGTCCAATACTGGAGAATTTTCTCTGTCAAATTTATTTGCAAAAATAATTATGGAAACTATTTTTATAAAATATAATTTTGATTAAAATATTTAATTAAAATTAAAAATTACATTATGAATACAAAACATAGGAATAAAGCATTTGTACATCTTTTCTTGCTGTGATCTGCTGTTACAATTCAATTAAATCTACTCTTCTATCCAGTCTCATTGTACAAACATTTACTTTTTTTTCAAACTTTGTATCACACATGCCATCATAATAGTAATAAATTTAAGAAGGTAGATGTATCATTTACTTTCAAATTACAGTAAGTCACTCACATAAACTACAGTAGAGCATTGATTATCCGACTCAATTGGGGACTGGGGTTGGTCGGATAATTGAAAAGTATGAAAAAATCCATTATTAGTGTAGTATATTATTATATCTCATGCAATTAGTATATTAGTATATCGCTATTAACCTACTTCGCGTTGAATTTTCCTCCATGTTAAGCCTATCAAATTTTTTTTAAAATAATAATCGTCGCTATTGTATCGTTAAAAATTAGAAAATTAAGCCTCGTTTAAATACTGGCTCCCTTCCATGGTCGATCCAGTGTTGCCAGCTAAAACACGTAAAAATAATATTAAAGTAGCCAAGACATAGCCAAATACTGTAGTGCCACATCACTAGCGGACATTTGAATTTGCCGACTAGAATGCAGTCGGTTAACCAAGGTGACGGTTAATCGGGGGTCGGATAATTGATGCTCTACTGTAGTTCTATGTTGCAAGATTTATCACATGAAATAAGCTTATATTCAATATATAAATAGCAAATATGCAATGTTTTATAATAGTTAAACTAAAACTTTAAAATAATAGCATTAGCAGCATTTTCCTTACATTTATAATACTTTTTCAATAAAAAGCAACTTATTTTTAATTTGATATAAAATAAAATAAATAATGAAATATTAATAATTAAAATAGTAACTGAAAAATTGAGATCTGGAATTGATAAATTTCTTGTTATGGTGAGTAAAACCTGAATAATATAATTATAATAATTGATACTTAAAAGTTTTAAAAATAAAATTATTTACTGACATCTTTCTGACAGTTCACAATGATATGGAAAAATTTCCTCCTTTACCCAAATACTTTCATACTCATTAATCATCTATCTTCAGGATAATTTTTAATTATGTAATTACATCTAATATACATAAAAAAATTATCCAAAGATGGATAATTAAAGAGTCAAAAGTGTTGAAAGTTCTTGGATATAAAAAGGGAATTTCCATATGATTGTGAACATCAAAAAAGGACAGAATCAGTAAATAGTTTCATATCTAGTTGAAGTGTTCAATTTAGTTTTAAAAATGTTCCATATCATAATTTTCAATTAAAAAATTGTCATTATTTCATTATTTCAAACATTTCAAATTCAATGCAAAATTTGAAATAAAAAAATTATCAATTTAAATATTGATTATGTATTTAAATAGGTTGGTATTGTGAAAAATTCTAACATTTGAAAATTTTACTATTTCAAAATTTTTTAAAAATTAAAAATTGATGAAGTTATTATCTAAATTCATATTTGATGTAATTTAAATATTAATATTACTTACTTATTCTTAATATAATTGAGCAGAAGTTGACAGTGGGCAAGAAATAATACAAGTGGAAGGAACCAACCATGATACATAGTATACATGTATACCTATAATATAAATTAATAATAATAATAAATATAAATTAACAAACGATTATAAATACATACAAACAGAATATAGACGAAATTCAACAAACTTTAATCAGAATAATTTTTCAAATTTTTATAACAGTAACAAAAAATAAAAATTTTCAGTATTAATTATATTTTTTATTTTAAATATTCCAGTTTTCAGATTTCCTAAATTTATTATAAAAACTTTTAAATAAAATTTTAGATTACTTTATACTGAAGGTTTATTCAAACATTTGTTAAAACCTTTTAAATTTTGTTTTTGAAAATATAAATAAAAATAAAATTATGAAAGAGAATTTAATCAAGAACTCTCTTTTTGTGTTGTAGAAAATACATTATAATATTTGTTAAGTTTAATTATTTTTATTTAATACAAAACCTAAAAAGGTTCAAAATATATTTAAATCACCTTTGAATAAAATAACTTTATGAATACATTTATATTTTGTATGATTTCATTGTTAATATTTTCAAATTTAAAAATGAATTATTAAAGTAATATATAGAATAAAGGAAAATCTTTATTATGTAATGTATTCACTCAATTCAAATACAATCTGACTAAATAAATAAGTCTTAAGTATATAATTATTGGCATCACAAATTATAATATATAAAAATATGTTCCACAATTTTTACCCAAACATTTTCATACTCATACAAGTATTATAAATTTAGCTTTTTAAAACTTATTCTAAATTACTTAGATATTCAATTAATTCTTGGCATTAATATGATAATTCTATATAAACTACTTTCATAGAACTGATACAACTTCATAATAAATAAAAATTTCATTGATCAATAAATTTAATTCCCAGCATAAATCGCTATTTTAAACTCTGAATATCCCTCTAATTTTTCTATACTGTTTAAATATTAATGGTATCATGTAATAGTGTTTAAGTTCTGCAATAATCACTTTAACAATTTATAATAAAATCAGATATTCCATTCTTTTGTAAATATTTTATTGTGTCACACCAAAGAAAATTTTTAAGTAAAATTTTGATTAATTTATGTGTCTTGAAATTTTAGAATTTGGATTTCTCTTTCCATTTTTACACAGCTGTACATATTCAATTTAAAAAAACAATTACTTTATTACATTACTTATGTGTTATTAAATAAAATATATGTTATATTATTCAAAACACTTATTTTAAACTATTGTTTCATACTTACAGATTGTCCCAAGTTTATGATATTGTTGTATTTTGGTTCCCTTGTTGTAATTTGAATGTAAAAAATGATAATGAGGTATGGTTCCTAAGATTGAAAATTAGCCTACATAATACTGCATACTTAACATATATCAACATTTAATATTTTAATTAATTAAATATCATATTTTACTAACAAGCATACAGACACACACAAGTAGTCAGTCACATTCAAAGGAATCAAAAATCATATTGAGTGAATATTACAATGTTTGTGTGGAACTGACTTTATTTTTATTGTTAATTTTTATTTTCAATTTATTACTAATTCATTTTAACATTATTATAAAATTTAAATTAGAATAATTACAACAAAACAGCTCTGAAAAAATTATTTTTGTTTTTATATCTGGAGCACTAATAATGTGAACCCAAGTTATAGTTATACACACACAAACTTACTTATTGTTGTATAGAGCATGTTTATTGCTTTTACAGTATTGTATATTACACAATTATTTAATATTTAATTGTTCTAATATACTAATAGTGAGTATAACTGCTTGTTTGAACTCAAAAATAATTTTGTTAATATAACAGTTTCAGCTGTCCTAAGTTCATAAGTTGTAACCAATTGCATATGTATGCATAAGTGTAAAATATTCAATTCCATACACGATTCAAAGATTGCTTTGAATATTGTATTAAATGATGTTAATTTAGGGGTTTATGAATGAAAATGTTTAATGTACATTCTTTGAAAAAATAATGTATAACCAAAAAATACTCATTCTTTAAAGAATAAAATGAATTATCTTATATAATTCTTAATTATAAATGAAATTTTTATTTTTATCTGTATAAATCTTAAATATTACTTACAGAGAAAGCCAAAAGTGTTGTACCCTGGGACTTCCATCTAACAAGTGATGTCAAATTATCAACCATATTGGAAATGGGCTTCGTAGCATTCCCTTTAAAACAAATTAAAATATAAGAATTAAGCAAAATTTGATATGAAATTTAAATGTTTTCTTAAAATTTTAAATTAATTTTTTTACTTAATATAATAAAACATCTTATTTCTTCATTTCTTATTGTATTAAGTGTATCATTTCCAGTATTGTATTATATTAATTTTTTATTTTTAAAAATTAAACTTTTTCAAGTAAATTTATTGAATATTCTGATTAAACAGTTCAATTGAGAACAAAATATTTTTATTTGCTTTGAATTGTTTAAATTTTTAATACAATTATTAATACAAGTTGTAGGTAGAATTTACAATATGAAGCTTTCTTTACTAAATTGACATATCTAAAAGCATTACTTTTCTTGAACTCATTTTACTAGTATAAAGTCTATAATAAAAGTCAACAACTTATTTGTCATGCATTTGTATTTGTTACTTACAAAAATTGTATGAAGACTTCTGCCTAAAACACAAAATTGTCAACCAATAAAGTAATCAAATAAAGATTAGAAATGAAAATTTCAACCTTTTTCATTGACACTTTCAAAAAATTAAAGTTTATTTTCTCATATTGCTAAGTATTCTCTACTAAAATTGAGATAAATGCTCTTCTCAATATATCCGCATATTTCCCACAATTTTCAATACGTCATAATTGCTAAAAGCAAAATATTGTATTTTCTATTAGTTAACAGTAAAAATAAATCTGGATCATTTAAAAGTTATTTAGATTTATTCTATTATATTAATTATTGGAAATAACTTTTTTGATGCATTTGAAGATATTCACATTCAGAATTTAAGCATTAAAATTGCATTAAAAAATTTCTAAGTTGCAGCTATCCTGTTTTGACCATTATAAACTTTATATATATAAAATTAATTTAAAATAAAATAAATTTATCCATACATCATTGCTGCAAGTCCTACTAAAAATGCATTGATAAACCACTTTATTTATGTTAATTAACATATCAAATTTAAAATACTTAACAACAGAAAATCCTTTAAATGTTAATTTCCTTTCTTAGCATTTTTTCACTATACAATTTTAATATAACAAATTCTAAAGAAAGAGAAAAAGTTTTTAAAAAGTAAGTGAAATTCCAGATTGAAAATTATAAAATAAATTATTATTTTATTAAAATGATGCTTTATTCTATAACTTTTTCCAACATAAATGTATAAATATGAATGGAAAAAAATTACATTAACATCTGTATTTACAGATTAATTAATTTTGATAAATAATAGTTAAAATGCTTAAAATTTATTTTAAATAAATAAAAATATATATTATATTAATATAGGCTTACCAGATGTCCCGGTTTGACGATGTTGTCCCAGTGTCCTGGCCAGTTTGTCATTTTGTCTGGGTTATTTGGTAAAATTTTAAAAGTGCCAAATATACAAGAAGTAAAAATAGTGCAGCCTCGAATAAAATAGAGATTTGGCAATTACCCCTCTGTTACACATCTAAATATTTCCTTTTAGATCTAAGTACTTTTAATGTTGTCTAGATGTTTTCTCCCAAATTTTATAGCATGTGGCCTAATGAATTTAGATATTTTTTCACAGAATTTATAATAGCATGTAGCCTATGAGATCTGGATATTTTATTTCATTTTTTAGATATTTTGTTTTAATTAGAGTTGGCAACACAAAACTTAAACATGTCATTGCTGCGCATGTCTTATCTTAGTCGCGTTCAAATTGCTAGTCGACATTTGCAATTATTTTGTACTATACGGTACATCAATTAATCCAAAATGCCAAAAAGAAACTGTGTTTACCGATGAGTTAAAAAAGGATTATCTGTTTTTGAAAAAAGTTTGTGATCATATGGACGAAGTGAAATGTGAACTGTGCTTTTTAGAATTTTCAATAAGTCATAGTGGACGTTCAGACATTAAAAATCACGTGAAATGTGTGAAACATAAGACAAGCCTAGTAGCATCGGAAGGAACTTCATCGAATATATTGTCAAATTTTAAAGGAAACGATTTAAATGAAAAAGAATTTTTAATAGAAGCTAAAGAAGCAACTTTTGCATTTCATGTTGCTATTCACAATCTCAGCTTTAAGTCAGCCGATTGTTCATCTAAATTGATTTCGAAGCTCTTTGAAGCAAAGTTTAGACTAGCCAGAACAAAATGTGAAGCTGTCATTGTTAATGTGATTGAGCCACTGTTGTTTCAGCAGCTATGTGAAGATTTAAATAAAGCAAATTTTGTGACGGTATCAATAGATTGTTCCAACAGGAAAGAAATTAAAACTGTGCCAAGTGTTGTGCGGTATTTTGTACCAGATTGTGGCATAAAAGTTAAGCTTTTAGACTTTCAATAAGTTCCTGGTGAAACTGCAGAAATACTGACAAACCCTTAAATGTCAGTTATTGAAACTCATAATATAGCAAAAAAAATTATTGAATTTTGTGGAGATAATTGCAATACTAATTTTGGGGGTGTTAAACATTGAGGAGAAAACAATATTTACAGTAGATTAAAGAAGGAACTAGGAAGAAATATTGTTGGCATTGGTTGTGGTGCTCACATCGTACACAACTGCCTTCAAACTGCAGTTGATGTTCTATCTATTGAAATTTAGTGGTCTAAAGAAGCTTTAGTGGTCAAAATTTATAAATTTTTCTACATTTACATGGTTCGAGTCACTCAACTAAAAGAGTTTTGTGAATTTGTAGATGTAGAGTATAAAAAGGTTCTTAAACATGGAAACACCCGTTTTCTTTCGCTACTTCCAGCTATTGACAGAATACTTGAAATCTATGAAGGACTAAAATCTTATTTTATTTCACAAGAACACTGTCCAGTGATGATAAAACAGTTTTTTGATAATGATTGTAGTGAAATGTATTTGTGTTTTGTGCAAGGGCAACTCAAATTGTTTAACAAAGCTATCTTAATTATGGAAAGTACAAATGCAAGTGCAACTGATATTGTCAGTGAACTTGGAAAATTAAAAACAAACCTTCAGGAAAGGCATGATAATAAATTTATGCCTCAAGAAGCAAAAAAAAACGTTTTAAAATACTAGAAAATAATGGAAGTATTAATATCAATACAATCCTACAAGAGTTTACAGCATTTTATGACAGATGTCTTTCTTACATCAAGCTATGGGAAAACAGTTTTGGTAGAGCAGAATCTTTTACTTGGATAAACAACAATAAATTAAAATGGTCTGAAATTGAAGCTTCAGGTGAAAAAGTTAATGAAACTGTTGCAAATAATACAATAAACATGGATCAACTGTTTGATGAAGTAGTGGTTGCCAAAGCTTTTTTGTCAGCTAACTATGAAAGTTGGAAAAATACAAGTTGTGAAGAAAAATGGATACAACTTTTCAATCATTTCAAAGAAAAGAACATTTCATTGCCCAATCTTATTCAAATTATAGAATACATTTTCAGCATGCCAGGCACATCTGCACCAATCGAAAGAGTATTCTCAATAATGAGTATCATATGGTCTGAAGAAAGAGGTAGAATGGCTGAATCAACCGTGAAAGCTTTACTACACTGCAAAATTAACAGTGAACTAAATTGTAGCGATTTTTTGATGTCATTAAACATAACAAAGAATTTTTAAAGAAAGTACACACTAGCGACAAATATTAATATAATAATAAGATATGTTTAGTTCAAAAATATTATTAATAAAAAAGATGTGTTGTATTAAAAATTGCTTTTATCTCTACTTTATTTAGCCTTTTTAATCATATATACAGTATATACTTATCCTAGTAGCCTTAATTTTCTGTTGCGAGTAGTGTTACCACTCATCTGGTTTTTAATTCATTGTCCAGAATAACTATTAATTTTGTCAGGGATTTCATAGAGAACTTGTTGACTTGTTTTTTTTTTTTCTTCTTCTTCTCAGCTCTAAAGAGCAATATTGAAAAGGTGGCAACACTGGTTATGAGGTATTTTTCAAAATTGTCCCGGTTTGAGAAAAAAATATTATGGTAAGCCTATATTAATACAATTTTATTCTCAATCATTATAATAATAACACTGTTCAATGTGTTATAAGGCAGAATATTTTATTAATTTTTTAATATTCTGATTAAAACAGATTCTTAACTAATTAAAATTATATGTAGGCATGCATGTATGTTTGTATGAATATACACACAAATATATATATAATTCATACTTACCAAACCTCACAATATTTTCTTTTAATCTGAAAAATAAAAATACATTAAAAACTTTGCTAGATATTTATTAAATAAATTATTAGTGTTAAAAACAACATTGACATTAAACACTAGTAAATTTCTTTTTTAATGAGTTCTAATAATAATTACTTATCAAAGTAAATGCTAATTTGATTAAGATTTCTTTTATTAATATTAATTTTACAACACAGTACACTTTGTATTGAGTTAATACATTGACTCAATACAAATTATATAGAAGGAAATTATCTAATGATTATTTTAAACTACTTATTAATACTTTTTATTACTAATGTTGAGTACTTTATAATTTATATTTTCAAAGATTACTAATTAAATTTGTGATCTTTTTCTGAAAATTAAAGTGAACAAAAAAAGAAAAAATACAGATAGTTATTTTCTATTCCTAGAATATTAAGAAAATCTGTTGATTAGAATTTCAAGGTTTTCCAAGCTAATATTCTACTTTGGTGTGTTTTCAGAAATAAAATAATAAAATTGCTCCAGCCAATAACAACAAATAATTACAAGTATTCATCATCAATATATGAAAAAAAAAAAAAAACATCATTTATTTTACTAGACTCAAACAAGATATTTTTGTATTCTTTTATTATATTATAATAGAAATATTACTTAATTTTTCTAGAAATAAACACAAATTTAGTTGTTATAATATGTTTGATGTAAAATACTCATCCATATTTTTGCAATAAAATAAATCTGAAAATAATTTAAATTATATTCTCTTTTCATTTATATTGTGTAGATGCTTTCACTTTAAGCTATTTTAAATAGAATTTACTTTTTAATACAGGAAATTACTTACATATGCTAAACCCTCTGGTTTTTAAAGTTTTGACATTAAACAAGAGATATGTGGGTTTGAATATGACAAAATAACAAAGAAAGATATTAAAAATACAGGAATATAAATTTAAGAAAAATGTGCTTCTCTCAAATTATTTCTCCTAGATAAAATATTTTTATCATAATAAATAAAATAATAAGTGTAAAATTGTATTTAATTAAATACTACATTATTTTGAAATGCACATAAAACAAATTTATATTTGTGATATTTTCATTTAAAAATAATGCTTTAATCAAAATATTATTCCTCATTATTCATATAAGTAAAACTTTTAAATATAAGTAAGTAAATAGTTAAAATTTGAACTTATATGAATATTTGAAAGTAATTTTTTTTGTCTATTGGTGCAGAAAATATAATGAAATATGTTTCCATTATTATATTCTTATATATATATCACATATTATATTGTAAATACAATTTATATATTATCTTTTTATGGATTATTTTCTCATTTTATTAATATAAAAAAGGTAGTTTTTCTTAATGTCTTAAACACAAATTCAATACAAAATGACCAAATCGATAAAAAGATAAATTTAAAAAGTGCAAATAATTTAATTTTTGGATGTTAATAAAATACATAATACATATGAGACAATAAATATAAACATGAAAAATAATATTTATATAAAAATTTAATATAATGCTATTTAAAACAAAAATTTATTTTCATAAATATTTTAAAGTAATATAAAACAACAACTAAACCTGAATTTTAATAAAATCTGGCATTTAGATATTTGATTTTTAATTAAAAACAAATTATTATTAATTTCTTAATTAAATTTCCAAAGTAAATAGAATTTTCAATATATATTTTTCTAATAAAAAAAATCTCTTTATTAAAGTGTATTTCTACACAAAAATTATTAAAGTGTATTTCTACACAAAAATTTGATTTTTAATTAAACATGAATAATAAATATGTAATTATTTTATATAAAATTGCTAAAGCATACAATTATTGAATATTTTAAATAAATTTTTAAAGTAAATATTAAAATAATTATAATAAAATGATGTATTTTAAGGAAATATTATATTTATGCATCTTGTCCGTTTTAAGTAATTATTATTTGAATTATTGTATAATTATTAGTAATTATTGTCATTTTTTATTTTAATATTTGTTTATAAATTTCCACAATTTTCATTTTTCAGTTTAATTATTAAAAATATAGTGTGCTTTTAGTTCTGATGACTAATTGTAGCAAGTAATAAGCAATAATGAATAACAAGTAATAGTAAATAAATTTTATTGTGTGTAAAAATCAAATAATACACTTTACATTCATGCAGAATTAAAAAATTAGCCATTAATGTTTTATGAAAACACATTTTATATACAGTGCGCACAAACTTTTTTGACAGTTTTTCATTTACTTTTATTATAGTTAATTATAAAAAAAAAATAACTTATCCACATAAAATAAGCCAAAAAATTGTAACAATAATCATATTTTACATACATACAAAATGAATTTTAATGTATTTCTATGAAATAATTAATTTTAACTTGCATGAATCTTTTTTTATTTGTGTGCTTTGTGAATGCAAATTCTAAACAAATACAATTATACTGTACTTAAAACATATAAAAAAAACTTATGTAATCTTCATAAGATAAATCTTACTTTCGGACGGTAAGAGGATCACCATCATCTCCTTCTTTTCTTTCCTCCTCTTCCACTATAGTTTCCGTAAAATCATCTAATAATTCATAAAACCAATTATGTATTCTTGCTTTTATATTACAATACCAACCAAGGTCTGTGTCAAGAGATGGTTGAGACCCTGTTGGTGTTTCCAAACGTACTGAAAAAAATTATAAAATTATTCCAATTTAAAATTTGCATATTGATTTATTTCAAATTTTATTTCAAACAATACAGCATATACAAATAAATATTTAAAACGTACATAACTTCATTAAGTGTTTAAATATTAAAAAAAAAATACAGTAGAGTGTTGTTTATCCAAAAGTCAGTTATCCAAAAGCATTCCAGTCGGCAAATTTTAATTTTTGCTAGTGCTGTGGCGCTGCAATCTTTGGCTATATCTTGGGCTACTCCAATATGATTTTTTTTTGTTGGTGTGTGTGTTTTAGCTGGCAGCACTGGCACTTTTGTGTGGTGTTTTTCTGAGGACTGAGTGTTGTGCTGAATCGAACATTTTTGATACTAGATCATCTTATAAAGTATATAATTTTTGGCTTTTATATTTTTCAATATATTTATTTTGTTTGTAAGAAATAAAGAAATAATTTTTAATGATACAATAGCCACAATTATTATTTTAAAAAGTATATGTTAGGCTGAACATTGACGAAAATTCAACACGAAGTGACACGCAATGGAGAAAAATTTCAACACGGGATAGGTTAATATATTTTTTCGTACATAATCGGTTATCCGAAAAATAAGTTATCTGAACAACCTCAGTCCCTAATTGATTCGGATAAACAATGCTCTACTGTATATAATAATTCTAATTACAACATAATAAACCATTAGGTATGTTATAATGATATACTAATGATTTAAGTTGTTAATCTCTATTCTACTGAATTTAATCTTAAGTACAACTTTAATCATGTCATATTTTCATTAAAAACTGAGTGACTAATTTTGTTAATAAATTTCTTTCTTTGAGTAAATGAAAGGTTTATATAGTAGACTAATTTTGATTATTGTTTATCAACAAATTCATTCACTTAGTTATTATACAAATAAAAAAGAAAATTTCAATGTTATCAAAACATTTTAAGAAGCTATACATTTGTCTAATGTAAACATACAATAGGTTTTCTTAAATAATTATTAAATAACAAAGTTAAAAACTTTCAAACTGTAAATAATATATTTTATTTCACACAGTACTTTTGATTTTCTTTAAATTGAAAAATTCATGAAACTATATTGTAGAATTAAACTGACATTGATTTTTCAAGAAGCAAAAATTATATGTAAAAGCATTTGACCTTTTTAGATCAGTTTCAGTTACAAATTCTTGTAATAGAATGTAATATTAAGTTTTGTAGAATAAAATAACAGTTTAAATTCAAATTAATACATAAATAAAAATATTAAATTAAAATTTAAAATTTATCTAAATAAAACTTAATTACAAAATAAAGGAATAAAAGTAACCAACAATAAATGAATAAAATTAATAAAAAATAACAAAAATTAAATTTGTACATATAAGATTTTAAGTAAGATAAATACATTACGAGGTTATAATCTTTTAAGTAACAATCATCATCAAGGTGCAAAAATGATCATAACAGTAAACAAGGATAAGCATGTATATACAACTTTTATGATTTTTGATTGTTATTTTAATCTCTTCCTGCTTATGGAATTTTTACAGATGCATTTTAGTATATAATTTTATATTTAATTCATCATGAGGCACATATTTTTTAAAGCTTAGTCTTTCTTTCATATTTTCTCTCCTACATCCTAAATAAAACTTTTTCTACCAATAAAACAAATTTTCATTTTAATACTTAAAGCTTCTTCAGATACATTAAACTACACAACATTATGAAACAATCTTAGCATGTGACTTTTAAAATAAAAAGTTTTATAAAATACATGGTATAACTAAAAACCACCCTTGATGAACCTTTATGTCAGGTAACCAAAAAGTTTAATAAATTGTCCAACAAACGTTTTCAACATTACTCAAGGTCTGCTTCAGGTTAGAGTAAGAACAAATTCCAAGTTTGGAATGCTTGAAATGGAACAGATTTTAAAATATTAAACTTAAAAGCTTTTGGAACATAATAACCAACTGAAATTTAACGGTTGGGAATGCGTGAAATCCAAAATATCCACATGGGGCAACACTTGTGTGTGTATTATTTGTGGTATCGGTATAAAAGCAAATAGTATACAATCAAACTGCATTAGTGATACCATGTTTCTTGCACAAGTAATGCCAGGCATACAATAACAAGTTAGCATCCTTAAAATTGATGCACCTACCCATCATGCCACCTTATATATTTCTAGGGCATCCAGGGATATAATGTGGTCGGTGTGAAAGGCCCTTTTTTATCAGCCTGATGCCAGGAAAGTCAGCATGCATTTCTGGGTCAGTGACGTTATTATGAAATGTGAAAGACAAGTCTGATGATCTTAGAGCCCCAAGTGTGTACAGTGTTCCGGAGAGACTTGGTATACATCAGTTTTATCAAATGTTCAGTTCAACAAAGGGTCCAGAAATGGAACCAGAAATGCATGCTGACCTTCCTGGCACCAGGCTGATAAAAAAGGGCCTTTCACACTGAACACATTAGAGTCTTGGAGGCCTTAGAAATATATAAGGTGGCATGATGGGTAGGTGCATCAATTTTAAGGATGCTAACTTGTTATTGTATGCCTGGCATTACTTGTGCAAGAAACATGGTATCACTAATGCAGTTTGATTGTATATTATTTGCTTTTATATCGATACCACAAATAATAGACACACAAGTGTTGCCCCATGTGGATATTTTGGATTTCACGCATTCCCAACCGTTAAATTTCAGTTGGTTATTATGTTCCAAAAGCTTTTAAGTTTAATATTTTAAAATCTGTTCCGTTTCAAGCATTCCAAACTTGGAATTTGTTCTTACTCTAACCTGAAGCAGACTTTGAGTAAAGTCAAAATGTCTGTTGGACGATTTATTAAATGTTTTTTGGTTACCAGACAAAGATTCAGCAAAGGTGGTCATTAGCACTAGCAATTAGTTGGAAGATATCTTGATATATCTAAAAAGTTCAGTGAATGATAGGATATCTTGAATGCAACTCATGTCACAAGGTCAAGTATGAGCCTAGACATCCAGGAACATATCTAGAATCAACTTCTAGCATAGAATATGTGTTGCTGCAAGTGAGCTTCTGTTGTAGTCATTTGAGCACAGTTTGTATAAGAGGTGGTGTCAAAGAACAAATGAAACAATGGCGCAACATGAGGTTATGCTCCAAATTGGAGAAAATGGCAACAGAAATGCATGAAATGCTGATCAAAGTGATCTTGCAGCTGTGGATTTGTTTTTGTTTCCTCTCCTCAAAGAAGCCATTAAGGAATCACATTTTGACATCATCTCTGCAATTCAGGCCTATGTGACAGCAGTTCCTAAGGCATTTCCCAAACAAGACTTTTTCCAGACGCTTTTATAATATTGTCAAAAGTGTACTGTCTCTAATGTTTTTATTCTAACATTCACTAAACTTAAACATAAAATGTACTTAAATTCATCTATAATATGAAATAGTAGATAAAATATTTTTCTACACAAAGTTATTTATATATTTCCATTAGCATATTTAATTAGGGGGTTAGTTCAAGTATGAGTTAACAGGTTTTCTGTAATGAGATTCTTTTTAAGAGATGAATAGGCTATCTGACTACTTTACTTCTTTATTGACATTACATCTCATTCATAATTAAATCTCTCATCTAAAGCTAATTAAACTAATTTTAAAATGCTCTACCCTTAATCATTCATATGATCATACATCACACAACATTCTATTTATATTATACTATATTATATATTTATTATTACTATATACTTTAATATTAGATCATCTTTTTTTCAACAGACTTTTATTTATTCCAAACAATTCTCATAAGGATATTTACCTCTAATTGAAATTCTACATAATGGAGGACAGAACAAAAAACATAAGTCCTCTAGTTTCTTTTTCTTTTCTAAGTAGTCATTACATCTGCTATTTATAAATACTGTTTATGTTAACAATTTCTTAATGTTTATCAAATTATTAACTAATACATGTTCAAAATACACAAAAAATTCATTATTGTGCAGTTCCAGTTTATATAGATTCATTTCAATGAAAATACCATTTAATCAATTTCATGATTTTTTTGTTCATTCTGTCCAGTTCTAAAAGAACTGCAAGCAGTCTAAACATTCACTTAAGTATGTTGCTATGATAATCAGGAAAATATATTCTGTTGTTAATGTTCAATAAAATCTGTACAATAAAAATCAGATACTATCTTTTGGAATAAATACTAAAATGATAATATTTTTTTACTATTGCCATCAAAGACTATTATTTGTTGTTTCCAAAATTCTGATTTTGTTAAATAAACACTGAAAAATAAAATATAATGAAATAATAAATGAACAAAAATGACATACATACAATCTTTATCATCTTCTGTAACTTCTTTTGCTACATCAATCCATTCTTCTTTCTCTTGAATTAGAGGTAGAGATGCTTCACCTACATCTATTGATTTACTTTTTTCACTATGTTTATCTTTTCTAACAAATCTTCTTAATCTAATTATATATAGTAAACTCATAAGACATTTAACCATTTTTAATAAAATAAATATACAGTAGAAACTTGATTTAACATTCTCCAATTTAATGCATTTTCATTTCTAATGTATTTTTTCACAAGTCTCTTCAAATCTTCATAAATCATAATGTTAATATTACTGCACTTAGCATATTTTGATTTTGCACAATTTTGGGACACATTTAACACATTGAAAAATTATTTAATTTCAAATATTGATCTTCAAAATATATATATATAGATAGGACACACCCACACTGTATTTTCATATTCAGATGGTCAGGAGCATTATAAAAGTTCAATAAATTATCAAGATTATTCACTACCTTGTGATAGTGAGAGGATGTCACTTTCTGTAGTTTTGGTGCATTACAGCCATTGTTAGATTAAGAGATGGCCATAGTAAGTAAAGCAATATCACATCAATTTTCAAAGTATACTATAGATTCTGTGATCCAAATACAGTATTCTTGTGCAGCTACAAACCCAGATATTATGGCAACAAGTACAAAACAAAATAAAATAATTGTTGCTCAAAAAAAAAAAGAATTAAAGATGCTCCATGAGCTCAACAATGTGGGTTCACATTTGCTGACCTGGCAAAGAGACTCAACATTAAAATAATGATTCTGCACATAATTAATAAAAAACAGAGAAAGCATTGAAAAGACAGCAAGTGTGTGTTAAGCCTGTACAAAGAGCTGAAAATATGTAAATGCATGCCCATATTTGGAGCTGGAAGTATGTTTGATGCAATGGTTAAATCAAGTGTGTAGCACATACAGAGTGTGTTTGCTGGTACTTAATGTGTAATAGCAGAGACTATATTGAAAAAAATATGTTTATGTTTCAAACTAAAAAACTGCAGTAATGAAGATATATCAAATCTTCAACAGGAAACAAATAAGATCCTTGATTACTTTCAAAGGACAGCTTAATTGTTTATCTTCTTGTAAAACATTTCTAGAGGTGCCAATCATTATATATTGTATTGTATGAAACAAAAGCTTTCCCAGAAGTTTTATATATATATTTTTTCCCCAGTCCCAATATATGTTTTTTCTTCCCTTTGTCCATATAAATTTGGTATGTTTTTAAGGATCTTTGGCTTTCATGTATTCTGCAATTCAATATACTTTTTCACCTGTTCATTGAAAAACATTAAATCAAGTTTCTACTGTATATTCAAGTAAGTTACAAATAATAAATATTTTGTATAAATTTTATATCATATTATGTTGGTCAAAATTCAAATTAAACATGTTAAAAGTATAAAAAAATTATAAAATTAAATTTTATCTCAAATTTAATAGTTTTGAATACTTAAAGAATTTTTAAAAATTAATATTCACATATATTGCATTTAAATTAAATGTAACAAAACTGTTAAATTGCATCTTTAAAATGCATTCAAATAATATGGCTAATAAATGAGACTTAGCTAAAAATATAAATATAAATACTTATATTTTTAGTTAGGTCTTTAGTGGAATAAGATTTTTAAGCAGAATAATTTTGATGTATTATATAACAGTATAAATACAGTATTACCTCAGGATACGAACGCTCCAGCATACGAAATTTTCAGGATACAACATGAAATTCGAACATATTTTTGCTCCATGGTACGAACAAAAACTCACCATACAACGTTAGTTTGCAGCACCATTTTTTATTCACTTCTGTTCATCAATTTCAGTCCGCTTGTTTGCTTTGTCGTGGAAGGCTCTCACTCGATAAAGGAAATCTTGAGGTATTATCAGAAAGTGACTGATTTTATTGAAAAGAAACCTCCCGAAAAGGTTCACACTGGCTGTATTGCTGCTCAGAGTAATGACATTTGCCTANCAGAGGAGAGGGAGAAGGGAAATGATACTAAAACTTAACTTACATAACATAATGTAACAATAACTTAAAAATAACTTAGAAAAAAGTTAAAAAAATTAGTGAAAACAGGAAAATTACCTACTAACCAAATAGATAAGCAAACTTCTTGCTTAACAGCGACTCTCGCACAACCCCAGTTTACAAAATTTTAAAAAAATATATAAAACAGAAAAGTTAAAAAAATTAGTGTTAAGTTATTGCTACATTATGTTATGTAAGTTAAGTTTTAGTATCATTTCCCTTCTCCCTCTCCTCTGCCACCAGTTTACACCTCCACCGTCGTCTATACTCAAAGGTAAAGTGCAAATTAAACTACATTTTTTTTTAATCAATTATTATTCTATTATGATTATTTATACATTTACAACTACAGAATGCATTTTTCAGTGTTTTCCTTACTAAAGTTATTTTTTTCAATGTACTACTTAGCTTTCATTTAAGTGTGTTTTTCGTCTGGAACAGATTATTTGATTTTACATGTAATCGTATGGGGGAAAAATGATTCACCTTATGACATTTTCATGATACGATCTCAGTTTCGGAACAGATTAATTTTGTATCCTGAGGTACTACTGTAACAATCTTTTATATATATTCTTTAATGATTTTACTATATATAAATAACTTTAAATTTAACTAATAATTCTTCACATCACAATGAATTAATGACTTCAAAACAACTTAGTTCTAAAAACTTTTATTGACTATAATACTTTTTAAAAGTGTATTACATTTAATCTAATTTTTCATTTATTCTTGTTTTGTTCAATTTTGAAAATGGATGATAAATCATTCAAAAGATCTTAGTCAATAAAAAAGCATAGTGATTTCTAACATTCTAGCTATTTTGAATTTATTAATTCATATATGAAATGTATCATTTATTAATGTTTTTTAAACTACTAAAAAATTAATGATTAAAATTAGATTAAGATTCTTACTAGTTTGTTTATCATATGCTAAAAATTCAGGGTACTTGTCTTAATTATTTAAATTACAAAGTGAATTAAAACCTATCAACCAAATTTAATACTTTATTACAACAGAATGACAAGATATACAAATCTTACTCAAATATTATTAAAATAACTATTTTAAATGATTTATATTACAATGTATTGCTATGTTTACCCACAACTTCAATCTCAATCTTATCTCAAATTTAAAATCATGTTTTAAAAAATATCTCTTGAAATAGCAAAGATTTCACATTCAATAGATTATTCAAACTGGTCCAAATACTTTTGGTTGGTTTGGTACACACTATCCTACTATCCTTAAGATATCCTCTTGAAAACAAGTCAAGGATTCAAATCTGAAGAATTTGCAGATCATTCAATTCCTTGCTTCCCTGAAGCAAAGACTGTTGAAAATAAGCATATGTAATACTGTCCATATATATATACTTTTAAACACATACATACATACATATATATGTATATATGAACTAGGTAAATATTTAATGCTCTAATAATTACAACATAAAAAACTCAGCAACAAGATACTCAACTTTCCTAGCAACATTTAAAATTATAGTGGTGCCATCTATTATAATATTTTATTTTAAAAATTTCTTATATTTTTAACTATTATAAAATGACAAGAAGCTTAATTTTGAGTATAGGGATGAATTTTATAATAAATTGTAAATACTAATAACAAATAAAATCATCATTAAGTCTGACCCTCCCTACTCAAGATATGACACATGACCCAAACATTAACCACCAAATATTAATGGCATCAAACACCTTAATAAACAAACCTCCCTGCAAGATTTCAGAAATTTTCGACAAAAAGCACTGAAGTTATTAAGCTTCAAAGAGGATGAACAAAATTGAACCCCCAAACACACATCCATATTTACAGAAAAAAATTCCCCCCCTTTTTTTTGCATTTCTTCAGATTTCATAGTCCCCAATCCAAAAATGTAAAAATCTTGAGGGGTCATTTTTTGACCAATTGCCATTCTTTCCCTCTGTTAAATATAACAAAGCTGAGAAATTTACTGAGATGAAAAAGAAGAAAATCATAATTTAAAAGTTCTAACCTTGGACTTTTACTACCAGAACTATCCTTAGTCTCTTTTTCATGAAGACGATCTGATAACATTTTTGTTTTCTCTTTTTCTTTTTCTAATTGCTTCACTACTTCTTCCAAAGTTTGTTGCTCTCTTAATTCTTTAATTTCACATACTAAATGAAAAATAAAAATTATTAAATTTAATTACTTATTTTTTCTAAAAATCAACATATTAAGAAATTAAATTTTTAAACATATTATAAGACTACAATCTACAAATTTTTAGAATATGTCAGACTTGGTTCAAAGAACATTAAAGAAATATATAACTTCACATTCATTGCTAGAATTTAGCATACTGTTTAATTTTTCCCTCCATCTTTTGACTCTTTCTGTCCCAATATCACTAGTGTGTCTTTTTAATCATGGGTTCAACCAGTTCCTCAATGGGAATGGTTAGGTAATGAAGGATGAGGACATATCTGGAAACAGACCATTAGATCACTGACCAGATTTTCCATAACACGCCGATGCCTTTTTACAATCATGGCCATCTAGTTGTGTCTGTTGTTAAATCAGAAAAATGATTATTATAATAATTTTATATACAGTTGACCCCCCTATAACGCGCGTTCCTATAACGGAAATTCCTATAATGTAGCGAAAAAATTGTAGCAACATACGTATAAAGGACCTCCTAAAATGTCGTCGCCGACTCGTTTCGCGACAAGATTGATAGAATCTGGACCAATAGTGGATGAGCAGCCGAACTACTTTCCTCCGCCCTGCGCCACGCTACGGAGCGGCTAAATTGAGTTTGCTATCGTCTGTACAGTATTATAGATAAATTAGATATAAATTAGGTACTGTACATATAATTATATATTAATTATATATAAATTAGGTACTGTATATATAATTATATATTAACTTAATTTATTGTAACTTTATTATAATTATATATATGCTTTCTGCCGCCTGGCAACACGCTACGGAGATTTTAGGCTAGTAAGTTGAGTTTATTATCGTCTGTACAGTATGTAAATTAGGTACCGTAAGTCTAATACAGCACTAATTTTATACATTTCTTGTGAAAGAAACACTTCTTATTCAACGGCCATAAAAATTATTTATATTAATGATGTCTCCAAAGGTCAAGTTATTTTTCTGTGAAAAATTCATTATCAGAAATCGCGGCCACCGTTTCGTGTGCTGTTCTGCGACGAAAACAAGCTTTGATCAATGGCATAGTTGAACGGTACACACTCGGTAAGTAATCCTATAATTTTTTGTTTATAGCATAGTTTATATAGATTATTCCCAAAAAATTATACGTGTTTTGGAAATGTTGAGTCGAATTAGTCTAGAATCGGTTAATTTTATGAAAGAAATCCTTTCAAACAGCCTTAGTCCGTAAAGTTCACACCTATCGGGCTGCGATTGGCTCATGTATTTAATCATTCCTACAACGTAAAATTCGATTAGCGTGGAACGTATCTAAGCGTTATAGGGGGTCTACTGTATTATATTTTATTATTTTTTAAATATAATACATATATGTACCAGAATAACAAAACATTAATTCTATTAATGAAAAAAGTCTGCTACACAAGTTTGTTGTTGATGCTTCATAACCTCTTGCTCAACAATATTTAAACTTTACACAACAAAGCAAAATTTTTGTAACAAACAAAAAATGTCATTGATTATTTTGAAATTATAAAATTGTTTTATTTTGTATAAAAAACATTACTTACTTACATTATAGGTATATTAATAACACTATTTATAAGAAAAAAATCAAAAAATTGTTAAATACACTTTATTTTAAATTCATTTATTAATTTAAAATTAAAACAATCACTGGATTACATTGGGCTACTTTTCTGTGATTATATTTAATTAATTATTAATTACTTTGTCACTGGAGGAAAATGTTAGGCACTATCTCCTGTTAAATTTAATAATTATAATTAAATTAATATTTATTAAATAATTTAGAATATTCCGGAAGAAAAAAATTGGCCTGGAGTGGGACTCGAGTTCACAACTCCTGCTTACTGTGCAGATGCATTGCCTTTATGCTAACCAAACCTCTGATCTGATCTCCTTTCCCAGACATATTTAAATATGATATAACCATCCTTGGTTATATACAGTGCCAACTGAGGATACCTTAAGTGTCCTCATCCTATAAACTTCTACTCATGGCACTCAGCTGGCCATCACTGAACCTCTGTAAGTGATGAGGGCAAAATTAAGTTATACAATGAAACAATTTTGCGCATAAAAATTATATTTATTATGGATTCCAACATCACAATACAACACGACGGCATATGAAATTACTACTAAGACAATCTATAGATTAAAACGTACGGTACCATTTCCGACCGCGATAACAAAGAGGGCCCGACCTTAAAACTAATCTTATATGCTAACTTAATACTAGTGAAAGAGAAGAATCAAAGTAGAAGAATGAAGGAAGAATACATACGATGGGGACAGAAATACCCGAGATTTTTGTTGGTGTGTTCGAACTATTTGTACTGTTGAGTGGGATACCACATGGTTGACTTCTTCTAATTCGACTCGTCGTCGTCTTCCTCTATAATTTACATTTTCTTTTCTAAATTCTTTTGTTGCTGTCACCAGATGAAAACCTTTTTCTTAATGTTGTTTCAATATCTCCGTTCGTTGCTTAAGCGACCCAGAGTGTCCACTCTCCACTTCCGTACACCTCGCCGTTCTCTCCTCGCATGCCGTTTTTCGTTTTGTCATTGTCCTAAGGGTCATTCTAACTTCTTTGTTCTTTCGTTTCCTAGAACTGGTCATCCCACCCAAGGGACAGGGATTAAGATAGGAAAGTTCTAGAAGGGGATGGAACAAAAGGACAAAGGATAGAAGGAAGAAACTAAACTAAGCTTAAATTAATATATTAATATATACAAAATATAGCGTACAGCTACACCTCGACATGGTATATATATATATATATATATATATATATACATACATACATACATACATACATACATACACACATATACCAGACATGGGCAAATGTGGCTCCGAGAGGCCTATGAAGCTCTTGCTGAAAATGTTAATTTCTGCTTTTTATTATTACTTTTACAATTTTATTTCCACAATTTTGTGAAAATATGTTTATTAAAAAAATTCAATATTTGTTTAATATTATATTTACATTATATAATAAAATTGCGGTACAGAACTGCGGCTTTCATGCATTTTGCGAAACCTACATTTCAGCTCCCACTGAACTTTTGCTTGCCCACCACTGATATATACACACACACTGAGTGGCCAAAAAATTAGAGACACCCTCTAATAATGAGTTAGTCCACCTTTAGCTCTGATCACAGCCGATATTCTTCTTGGTACGGACTCAAAAAGTTGCTGACACTGTTACCGAGGAATGTTGGCCCATGCTAATATAATGGCAGCTCTAAGTTGGGTCAGATTGGATGATGGCATTTCCAAGCTTTGAAATGATCTTTTGACCCACAAATGCTCCATAGGATTGAGGTCAGGGGACTGAGCTGCATGGAAGCAGGTTAAACTATGATTTTATGTTCCTCAAACCAATTTGAGACCAATCGAGCATGGTGACAAGGCGCATTGTCCTGCTGAAAGTGACCATCTCCTTCAGGAAACATTACAGCCATAAATGAGTGTTCATGTCCTCAACATCATTGCCGATCACGTAATAAAAGTATGTGATCGGCAATGATGTTGAAGTAAGCTGTTCTATTCAGAGAGGTGTCCATAAATATCAAGGGACCTAGTGTACTCCAGGAAACATTCCCCACACCATAATTCCACTGTCACCAGCCTGAAGAGTTGTCATTTGGAAGGAGGGGTCCAAGAATTTGCCATATTCTGATCCTGCCATCTGCATGATGGAGCAGGAAATGAGATTCATTGGACCAGGCTACTTTTTCCAGTCCTCAAGTGACCAATTTCGTTGTTACTGGGTCCACAACAGGCGTCTTTTCCTCTTTTTCTGTGACACCAAAGGCACTTTTGATGGTCTCCTGCTACTAAAGCCAATCCTTTGCAAAGTGTGTTTTGTTGTGCGTTGGGATATGCTTTGTGATGCACCTGCATTGAATTCAGCTGTAATTTGTCGTGTTGTTGCCCTTCTGTTGCTGTGGACTATGCATGCTAATCGTCTTTCACCTCTCTCGTTCACCAGCCTTTTTCAACCAGAATTGTCCTTATCGCTTGAAGTTTATTTTTCTCAACTGTCACTCTCTAAACACCTGAGATACTGTTGGGTAAGAAAATCCTAAAAGAGTTGTCGTTTCAGAGATGCTGACACCAGCTCTTCTTGCACCAATGATCATCCCTCGTTCAAAGTCACTTAAATCTTTCGTCTTACCCATTTTGACATTAATTTCCATGATAACTATGTCTTCCGAAGCTGAACGTACATTATATAAGCAACTCTGCATTGTTACATCAATTTACATTACTGTTGGATTGATTTACTTTCAAATAAGAGGTGTGTCTAATTTTTTGGCCACTTAGTGTATATATACAAACATACACAAACAAACCTAACAAAACCTGATAAATTTGTTTATGTATATAAACAAATTTATCTGATTTACCCGATTCTGTTTTTATACAATAGACTGGTTTCTGGAAATGATGTGTAAAAAAATATATTGTATATATGGAAAATTAAAAGATTGGTTACAGACCTATGAAATAAATCATATGAAAAATCTTGTTTGAATGTTATTTTTTTGTTGTTTTTTTTTTGCATATTATCAAATTTTACTTCATAAGCATTGCACATAAATAAAAATGAATTATAGGAACATAAATTTCATTTGAAAAACAAAAAAAAAAAATGTAAAGAATTAATGAAAATAAAAATTGGGCAGAATATGTAATGTGAGTTATACATAAGATTTTATTCAGTGTCACTTTCTGACAATAAATGCATAAATTTGCACATGATTGCAATATCACTGCTATCACTAAAAATGCTTTAGTTATTGTGTTCTTCATCCACAGGTGAAGTTCTTTTTGTGAACTTCAGAACAACATTAGCAGTAATGTCCTGTGTGCTGATGTTACGAGGTGCAGTGGTTTTATGAATGAATTCAGTTATTTTATAACATGAATGGCTGGGTTCATATTG